TGCAACTTGCTAAAACTTTTTTTATGTTTGTATACACTCATAAAGCCTATTTACTGTAACAACAATGGGAAAAATATTATTACCTTTAATTTTAAAGAACTTAAATTAAAGTCGGGAAAGCTCATTGCCCACCACTTAGAAATCAACATTTTCCCGGGAAGACCCTGAACCTCCCTTTTCTCTTTGGGTTCACTGATTCATTATAATAATTTTCAAGAGGGGAAAACCTTGAATTTTGAAGAAATTAAAGTAATTAAAAGACACCTCAGAAGTCGGGAAAGCTCATTTCCCGCCTTCTAGGAATCAAAATTTTCCCGAGGGAGAACCCCCGGACCCCCTTCCTTTTTGGGATTCATCGATTCATGGAAAATTCGTATGCAACTACTCATTTTTTAAAAATGTTTATGTATGTATACACTAAAGGCCTATTTACTGAAAGACAATGGTAAAAAATTACCTGACCGTTTTCAAGAGGGAAAAACACTGAATTTTGAAGAACTTAAAAGTAATTAAAAGACACCCCAAAAGTCGGGAAAGCTCATTTCCCGCCTTCTAGGAATCAAAATTTCCCGGGGGAGGACCCCCGAACCCCCTTTCTTTTCGTGATTCATCGAAAATTCGTATGCAACTACTCATTTTTTTTTTAAATGTTATGTGTGTATAGACACATAAGGTCTTTACTGTAATAACAATGGGAACAAATTACCTGACCGTTTTCAAGAGGGGAAAACCTTGAATTTTGAAAAACTTAAAAGTAATTAAGACATTTCAGGAGTCGGGGAAAAGCTCATTTTCCGCCATCTATGATGGACCCCCCTTTTCTTTGGAGCTTATCGATTCATTGAAGAAAGAATACGATATGCAACTACTCATTTTCTTAAGGCACGCATAACAGGCCTATTTACTGTAATGAGAAAGTTTACCTTACCGTTTTCAAGAGGGGGAAAACCTTGAATTTTTAAGAACAATGTCATTAGACATCTAGCTCAAAAGTCGAGAAAGGTCATTTCCAGCCATCTAGAAATCTAAATTTTCCCGGGGGAGGAATGTTGACCCCCACCACCTAGGTTTGATTCCCGATCTGCATGATTCATATTCCCATTCATCTTATAAGTGGGCCCCCCCACTTTAAAAAACGTTCCGCCGGCCCTGTACTGTGTGCCATCATCAATGTTTTTAACTGGTTAAAATAGTTGACCGTTATCTTATCTTGTGATGTGATGCCGGATTGCCATCCCACTTTGCCACACAGCCTAGTTTCCTTAAAATCGCTAGTGTTTTCAGTGTAATCGTATTGCGTAGCAGTTAACAACGCAATCAGGAAGGTTTCCCGGTTCGACAGACAAATCAGCATCACCTAAAGCTGTCGGCAATAGCATGTAGCGATTGTATGGAAACCAAGCTTTAGGGTCTCAAAAAAAATGTCGGCGATGGCATCTAGGATGAAGACTAGGCTACACACAAACAAGCAGACTGGGCTCACTTCTATTATTACAGTATATATAAATTAGTGAAGTTAGAAACTTGTCAAGATAAACTTATTATATTAAAAGAAAAAAAAAAACACAAAAAACCATGAAAGATAATTAGCAAAAGAGTGTCCTCAAATCTTAATTTATTCATGCTCTCTGAACAATACAATTGGTCATAATTGTAGGCATTTTGCAGTAATAATACGACAATAAATATAACTATGACTTCTTGATGGGAGTTGAAAATTCTACATGTAATAATCATATTTTCAGTTAGAGCAACGTAACAAACGTTAAAAGAAGAATGGGATGCCCAACCGGATGGAGAGTGGCCAGATGTATAGCCATAGTGACTCCAGTTATATTAGTAAATTATAAAGTACATTATAACCCTGCTACAAGTTCAAATTTTAACAAATGAAAAACGTACAATTCACATAAAACTATAAGTACTACTATGAATGGAAGCAGCTTTAATATCTACTATTTCAAATAAGTACAAAAATTTCCATTATGAGTTTCGATCTGTGCTAAAGGGTGTATTACAAATTTAGTACTAGGAACAAACTATAATATATTTTTTACCCTTATCATATTAATCTGAACGAAATAACTCAAGTAAAATATTTACCCTCATCATGAATAAATGAACAGGCCTTTGCATTCCAAAAACAAAATTAAGCTAATTACTATTTATTCTTTTAACTGTATGTTAAGAAAAAAATTATTATTTATTAATATAATAATTATATCAGTACAGCAATGTATCCATTTTATGTTAGACTAGTATGAATAACTAATCTAAAAAATATTAAAAGATCAATAATACATATATTTTTTTTGGTATTTAACCATTCATTATTTTTAATTATACACACACTTGGCTAAAAGCCACAACTTCACAACTCAATTGCTATCACTGGATAATGTTTGTAATTAACTTCTAAGAACATTCTTAAAGTATTTATATTTTTCATTTCAAAAAAATGGTTTAGTGATGGCTAAAATATGACTTCCAATTTTCCGAGTTCAATGATGTTTAATGTTTTACAGAAAGGATAGCTTTTCCATGATTATGTATTATGTTTTTTTTTAAAAAAATGGACTAGTACTGAAACAGTTAATCAAGATAAAATGTTTACCCAAATAAAACACAATTGTCCATTTCTTCAAATTTTCTATTCAGCTGCATGTAGAATGCTAATTAAAAATAGAATAAGTTTTTGGTTAAATACTAGAAGGTATCCATGTTCATGGGCCAGATGTCTGTTGATGTGTACCCTGTAACCTGTATTTATCTTAAAGATGTTCTGAATCTGGTTCAATAGAGTTTTATTCAAACTTGATACCTTGTGCAAGTGGTAACTCCTTACTATAGTTAATAGTGCTGAAAAAAAAAATAGAGAAATGGAATTTAAGATAGAAAAAGGATATTATAACAAAAAAAATATCAAAACTAAGTTCTTGCATTTCTAAATCTTCATCTATTAATCATTCAAAATGCATTTATTTGCTGAGAATGGGTTGAGTGTTATTATTATTACAAAATTGTATTCATTGGTTATCGTCCAAGTAGGTTAAAAAAGATTTAGATGATTTATTCTTTTTTTTTTATATTATTGTGACAAAATATTCTGTATCTGCTGGAACCGAGGCTTCCCTCCTATAACATTCCACAATCGAGTAGGCGCATAACTCGTGTTCCACTATTTGCATTCACACCTGGGCTATATGTATATATTGCCTTGGTTTGGCTTTTTTGTTTTAGATTTTTTTCAAGATTACTCATCAGATGGAATAAAAATAACCCACAGTTGACATTTTGCAATGAATGTAGGCCTAGAATGGCAATATCTTACATCAGACAACCACTAGACAACTTTATGGGGAAAATTTAAGATCAATTCACTCTCATTTTTTTATTTGTAAAGAAAAAAGCTAAAAGACCCCCTTTTTAAGTTTTTGTTTTGCCACCCCTATTTTTTTTTTCAATGAGAATGGGGTGGGTGAGGTCAAACAAACAATTTTTTTTTGGCCTTATTGTTGAAAGACTTAGCACAAAAGCTTGAACTTCAGTATAAAATTGACCAAAACATGTAAGTGGTGTGAATAGGGTTTGCCAGTGACAAATATTTGACCCCCTAAGTGGGACACATGAAATGGTAGTCTCCAGGGATCCTTGTTTTTCTGAGGGCATATCGGCGCTACATTATGCTTACCAAGTTGCTCGCCTCATATACTGCTTCCAAGCATCACTTCCTGACTCACGGCCTCCTCCTGTGTGTTTCTCGCCTCCAAAAGCGCCACCAATCTCAGCACCACTTGTTGGGATGTTTACATTCACAACACCACAGTCAGATCCATGAGGTCTGGCAAGAAAAATAGAGAAAATATCTCAGGGATCAGAAAAATAATTTGTAATTTTCAACTACCACCGTCGTTAGTATCTATCAAGATCATCAATGCTATTGCAGGACAATATATCATTCCTATTTTTGTTTGTCATTTAGTGTTATTCTTAAAAAATTGTCTTCTTCAAACAAAAAAAAAGAACAAATATATATTACATTATTAAACTTTGTCCACACTATCAAATTTTCTTTGAAAAAAACTGTTGTATGCCCATATATAGACATGATGTGCCTATATGATCATGTGATGTCATCATTACCATATTTAGGCATTTCACATGTTTTTGTCAAATAGAAATGATAGTCTGTCAGGGCTTTACAATTCAAATTTGCCATCATCTTTATTGTTCAATTATTTATTTTTTCGACATATATTAAAATACAAAGTTAAAAATTACAAACAAAATATAATAACAATTACAAAATTTACAAATGGAGGTTAATCAGGGTCATCTGATATAAATTTGAAAGCTAGGCTTACCCCATCCATTGGAAGATACTTTCAATGTTCTGAGTGAAGAGACTGCTTGATAAGCCTTGCTTCACTTCATTATTCCAGGAAATAGCCTCCTCCAAGTTCTTGGTTTTCAAAATGTAGAGAATCGGTGCAAAAGTCTCTGTCTGAACTACATCAGCGTCATGCTTCAAACCACTCACAATTGTCGGTTCTACGTAGAATCCTTCACGATAAATTGTCTATTTTAAAAATAATACTTTAAAAAATGTAAACTTTTTCTTTACCAAAACCATTTTATTTTATAATTCAAAGTTAAATTATGGTGAAATTTAAACACAAAAATCTTTAAAAATTGTATTAAAACTCTGATTAATAATTCAACTTTGAAGAGACAAAGAGCAACACAATTCTTTTTTTATCTGATTTTCAGACTACAAAAAAAATTTAATCGATAACCAGCCAATTTAACGTTTAAACACAAAAAAATGTAGAAAAGGAATTCCATTATGAGTCTGAAATGTGGCAAGGAAAATATTTTCTCGTAATTTTCAAGTGAAAACTAATACTCATATTTGATTTTACAACATTAGGCAATTTAATCTCTAATTTTAATCCTAGTTTTTAGCTTTAAGTAATCTAATACGTATTTTCTATTATTGCCATTATGAAACTGTGTATGTTCATGAATTTGGAAATTCTGGTTTGTAGTGGTTGTATCTAGTTTACAATAATTTTTTTTTTGCAAAAAAATATATATTAATATTATATCTAAATATATTATATTGTCATTGTTTTCTATTACAAATTTAAACAAATAAATGAAAATGAAATGAAAATTTACTAGTTCGTTTTAAAAGAAGAAGATATGCTTGTAATGATGGTTGTATCTAGTTTATAATACCCTTTTTTGTGAAAAGGAACAAAAAAGTCTCATTGAGGTTTCCATGTATTTCCTCAACTAATTCACTGGAGTAATAAACTGTCTCTTATACACATCTAGATGTGTATAAGAGACAGTATATATATATATATATGTGTGTATGTATGTATGTATGTATATAAAAAATCTATTGTCAGTGTCTACGAATCAAACAAATTTGATCACTTACTAGCTATTTTCTTAATAATGACTATCCCCCTTTAAAATAATACTATCAGCTATTTCTAAAGCCTCAACCCTTCCCCGACAATCCCTTCTAGATTATAAACGCAAAGTAGATTATAAACGCAAAGTTGATAATAACCGCATCCCTCGTCCTCGACTACCATCCCAATATATGTTCTCTTACCCGCCAACTTAAAACTGACTATAAAATTCTCAATAAAGATAAATCTATTTGCCACCTTTTTGCAGACCCTCCCCTACTAGCCAAAAGACAACCCCCCAATTTTAAATCTATTCTCTCATCCTCTACACTCCATAAGAATTCCCACTCTTCTGGTAATGTTACATGTAGTAAACCCAGATGCCAAGTTTGCAATTTCATGTGCACCTCTGATACATTCACTATTCCCAGTACTAATATCACTATAAGACCCCCTCCACTTACTTGTGATTCTTCTAACGTTATTTACATTTTATTTTGTAACAAATGTCAAATTGGTAATTATTTAGGAGAGACCAGCATTGTTATTTTAATTTGTAACCAATACCATTTCCTTACACTTGTTTTACTTTGTATTTTTTTGTCAGTCGTCCTCACACTGAGGAAGAAAACAGGAGTGTTTGAAATATTTGTGATTTAATAAATTATATAATGCTTCAGAGTATGTTTACAACTCATAGCTGTTTTTTATTGCTGTCTTTCGATTATATAAATTATATATAACTGAAATAAACTATCGCAAGTATTAGAAGCAGAGTGCTCAATGGTAGACCAGAGCGGATGTAAATAAATAAAAAGTGAGATTGAACAGTATATATATATATGTATGTATGTATATGTATGTATGTATGTATGTATGTGTGTATGTGCGTATGTATGTATGTATGTATGTATATATATATAATAATAAATAATAATAGTTGGATTTGTATAGCGCATCATGCGAAAAAGCCTCTACGCGCTTGGTGATTGAGCTCTTTGAGTTTGACATTTTGAAAAAAGTTTTATATGAAACTAAAAAACCTACTCCTTAAACTAAAGCATGGTTGGCCGTTGGCTCCGAGGAGTTCATCCGCCCTTTGTTCAGCTGTTTTTTTTCATGCTGCTGGGTGTCCATCCACCCTCCCATCGGCGGCCGCTAAAGACCACCAGATGGGGTTGCCGTAAATACAGACATTGATACGATAAAAAAATCTGACAGTTGACGTATTATAGGAACATTATTTTATTTGGCACGAATGTTTCATCCTGTCCTCAGGACTTTCTCAAAATATATTATATTGTCATTGTTTTCTATTACTGTATAAATTTTGAACAAATAAACGAAAATGAAATGAAAATTTACTACTTCTTTTTAAAACCGTTGCATTCTAATTTTGTTCAATAAATGTTTTTTTTTTTTTCATATTTTTATGAATTTAAATTACTTAAATCCTATGGAATCTAAAGGCTGTCATGATTTACAGCTTGAATGTTAGAACAAGATATGTATTTCAAGTGTAAAATTTTATTGTTCAGGTTTATTAGCTCTACATAGACGGTTCAGAAACTACATAAAACCTATCAATGTATCAGCTGTCATGAGTAGCACCCTCTACGATGGAAACAAGATGCAAGGTAGGAATTAAAACCAATCAATCAATCAATCAATCAACCAACCAATCAATCAATCAATCAACTCATCACTAGAACTTTCTAACACAAGCTTCACAGAACCCGAGAAACCAATACAATGAATTGTTGCCTCAGACAGTATTGAAAACAGGAAGAGTTGGTGTAGTGATTTTCTTTTTAGGTCATCCTACAGCAGTTCAAGCCCCTTTGGTGTCCACTAAACTTGTGTCTGTGAGATATATCTACACTTGTAGGATATGAACTTACTTTAGGATGCCACTATAGGATGCCACACATGGCAAACAAGGTAATAATTATATTTAAATTCCTCAAAAACAATAACAGGAGGAGGGTGAAGCCGAGGAGGGAGAAGGAGGAACAATGTTGCTATACAATGTTTGGCAACCCCAAAACATCAAACATGAAAGAAAAAAAGCAAATGAAGAAAGAACAGTCACCGCAACAGCAAGGACACCCAGCAGAAACATAAAAACATTGATGAAGAGATCACCGAGTGGTAAGGCAGGGGCGCCGCTAGCAGCAGCCTTAACATCGGTGCTGGTTCCAGCCACTCCTCGCCCATGGTTCGGTTGGTAGAACCAAGTCTTCTCGGATAAGGACTTAAAATGGAGGTCCAGTGTATACATCTGGTTCATGTGCACTTTAAAGAACCCATTGCATCTTTCGGAAGAGTAGAGGGTTACCCTGATGTTATGGTTCATTTCAGCCCCTGTCGTTGTGGAATGATGTAAAAATGTATCTACCAAGAAGCGCCTCTCTACGGCTGCTAGGTAGTTACGGACCACGCCCATACGCAATTCAGCACAGTGACGCTGCAAGTTATAGGTTATTCTCCTACCTTTACCTTACCTTTACCTATAATAATGTATCTAATTATTGACCATCGAAACAGCTGAAATAACAGCTAAAACAAGTAAATTAGAATTAACCTACAACAGCAACTACTGAAGATCTATCACAACCAACAACTCTTAAGACAATTCATGTCATAAGACAACATATCACTCAGTTCTGGGTCAGGTCATTATTTGTGTGCACATCTCTCTTCGCAATAAGCATTCTAATAATGACAACTTATAATAAGTCCGTTGCTGAATGTCTACAATTAGACGACTACAATTACAAGTACTTGTTTCAATGATTCTCATAAAAGTATCATGGTACTAGGTAGGATGATCTGGAAAGAAATCGGCCTGTTGCTGTTCTTCTACCACTGTTGCTAGATAAAGCATGAATCTAAACTGTATTTGTCATAGCATAAATTATTATCATATTGTAAATTGTATTTGTTTATGTTCTGCGGATATCAGTCTATGATGGAATACGCAGCAATAGAAAAATTGAATTTGAACTGAATCGTTTATTTTTATTATTTAATATTATCATTATTAGTATATTGTCCAATCAAATATGTTTTAAAGTGACCTACCTTTCCTCCATATTCTATATTGCCCCCTTGGGCTTGGGCATCATTTACTGCTTTCTCATACATGTCCACACCTGCTTGAGAATGCATTGGTCCATATAAGGTATCCTCTAAACACAAAAAAAACCAGAAAATTGCAATAAAACAGACTACTACCGTTTTTAAATTGAAGGTTTTAAGTAGAGCAATGTTGAACATCTTTTGTTCCTAATTTTATAGTTTTTAATCTTTCATTGTACATACTGAATTAGGATATAGTTTTAACTTATACTTATTATTTTCCTATATTAAGTGTTTTCATTTATTTTTTTTAACCTTGGAGAAACATTCAACAGCGATATGTTTCACTTTTTGGTTATCCCGTCGGGTTTTTAACAATTGCTATTTTTACTGTCTTTTTGTCTGTATTTTCCTGTGTCCTCATTGTATGTTTTTCTAATGACAAAATAAATGAAATGAAATGAAATACAATTTATTAATATACTTTACATAATAAATTCAAAAAGAATCCTGCAATGACTTTTTCAGGTCAGAAATTGTCATCGAAAAAGTGCAAATTTTTCCATTGCAATTTTCTCAAAAGTGACTTTTTGCATTTGTGGGAACAGCAACGATTTATGGCACATTTACACCAACATGGTGTACTTTGACCTAAAAAAGTTACATATAGGTGAAATTTTGTAAGCATTAAGAGCATAGGGAGAACTTTAATTGTATCATGACACAGTCCCACTAACTAGATGTGAAACACAACTCAGAAAATGATTTCAAAGTAAGGAAAAGCTGATGGATGTCCCTTGCTTTTAAGCTTCTTTAATGCTTTCCCAATAAATCAGATTTAGTTACTAAACTTTTGACATTATCACTATTGGTTAACTGCTTCGCTTTCAATGAGTTTCTCCATCCAGTAATAACCAAAAAAAGAAACTACCCAGTTTCTTGTATTTTGTTTCAAATTTAGCCTAAGGCTTTTGGCAACGATTACCAGAAATCTTCGTACTTAAAATTACAAGACATTACCTCATAAAAAAGCAATGAAAATGTAACAAATGAGAAGGTCGATGGCGAAAAAAATCTGGTACATTACAGATATTTGGGACTGTAAACCCACCTAGATATCTACCTCTATCAAATATTGAGTATTGTACATCATTGGTGTCTGGAAATTATACACTAAATAGTAATGAGAGAATACTTTCTGAGCACATATATTATAAGTATTTGAAACAATATAGAAATCTTGATTAAATGTTTGCAATGTAAAAGAAGATTTATTTCTCAAGCTAAAAATAGGCAAACACTATTAAATATTTGTCTGTTAGCATCAGATTTTGTTTGATGGTATAATTTTGTTTCAGACTTGTATGGTCAAACAAATCATGTATGTGCTTTTTCATGTATGTAAAGTATGTTGAAAGTTGAGCAATACTTTAATCATCATAATCTTATAAAATCTTGTTGTTGTGGTTCGAGTCTAACAGACAATATCTTATAAAGTATGCTTGCATCTGATCCAATAAAGTGTGTCTCTTCCTGTGTTGGAAATTGCAAACGCTCTTTTCGGACAAATCTTTTATATAAGCCCCAAGTTTTCCAATTACTCATACATGGAGAGACATATCAATTTAACTTCTAATTTAACGACATCTGAAAATAAGAATGTGAATGATGTATTCAATTATTTTTTCCTTAATTCAATAGATACCAAAGTTTTGGAATACTGTATTCCCCAGGGTATGAAAGATGGGAGACGACAAACTATAAACTAAAGTAAAATAAAATTACCAAATCATATATTATTAATAATGTCATTGGTTCATGTGATTATCTTACAACCTGATGTCTTAAATAATATTAAGCTTGCATTCACTTTCTGTGTCTGTTGAAAAATTAAACATCCTGAACTCTTGTTTAATTTGTTTGATAGTGAGTGATGGCAAAATCCATTACTTGCAGACTGATCAACTATGAAGAACCACATGAACCAATGACATTATTAATAATATATGATTTGGTAATTTAATTTTACTTTAGTTTATAATTTGTCGTCAAGGTGGAAAAGATTGGTTGGAATGAACATCTACTGTTAACTTTCAAATGTCTAAAAGAAATGACCCCATGTTATTTATATAATATCATCCTCAATGTACTAGGAACAAGTCTAATAACAACTTAATTGAACAAAAATGGAATCGGGTACAAAGCAAAAAGACATTTTTATATCGGGCAACTAAAGCATGGAACAGCCAGCCAATTTAAAACAATATTTAATGAACTTTCTATACAGTCTTTTAAAAATCATTTAAATGATATATAATCTAATATTATTTAATTATTATCTTCTAGACAAAATATTAAATCAAAATTTAACTGATATTTGTTTCTGCCTTTTCCTTTACAATTTTGTTTAAAGTTAAGCAAGTTTTAATTGATTTAGTTTTTGATACCGTAGTTTTATATTTATGTACATATTGTTTTCTTTAACATATTAGTTTTGTTTAAAGTTCAATTTCTTTTTTTATTTTGCTTTTCTTTTATTCCTTTTACTTGTGATCCACTTGTGATACCAGTGCTGCATCACTGAAAGTGTAATCACACAAAAGAAATAAACAAATAAAAATAAAATAAATTAAATAAAGATTTTTAAAAGCATTATTTAGCTTGGCAAACATTGGCTGGCTGATGGTAGTTGGTGTGATTTCATGGAGAACAAAATGGAACTAGGCACACACAACAGATCATTTTAAATGACAATTTGCTTAGACTGTCACTAACAATCAGAGGTATTGTGTCGTCAAGTGTCCAAAACTAGTGACGACGCATTTAACGACCAATGCAATGTGTAAAAGTGGTGTCACATAGTGATTATTATTATTATTATCCTTACTATTATTATTATGCAATGATTGCCATTTTTATTATTATTGTTATTATTATTATTATTATCACCGCCATCAATATGTGCAGATATCTATGTTAGCATAAAAGAGATAAGGCTCATACATTTTGTATAAACATTGCCCGCCTGTATACAGTATCTGGTATGCTAATTTCGATGATGCATATGCAAATTTATTTATGTTAATTTTGGGTCTGTGAGCAGAGTGTACGGTGTAGAAAGCAGTTGTGGAAGATTAGCTGAGCGTGAAGCAGCTTGAGAGAGGCCAATGCTGTGAAGGGCAAAAAGATAGGCCTAAAGGATTGGAGTTATCCTGTAAAGTATTATGAGATTATCCTGCAGCCTGATGGGGCTATGTGTGATAGCCTAGAACTTCTTGATATTGTCAGGAAGCTGTGGCTGAGCGTGAAACAGCTCGAGAGAGGCCTATGCTGTGAAGGGCCAAAAAGATAGGCCTAAAGAATTGGAGTTATCCTGTAATGTAATGAGATTACCCTGCAGCTTGATGAGGATAAGTGTGGTAGCCTAGCATGTTATTGATATTGTAAGGAAATCGTGGCAGAATAGAGCCACAAAAGTTTTGTGTAAATACTGCAAGAAAACTGTGATGGGATTGAGACGCTCAAGTTTTATGAAGCTCTTCAGAAAAACTGGTGGAATTGAGCCACCCAAATTGATCTGGTAATTCGGTAGAACCGAGCAGTCCAGCTGTGAGGACAATTCGTCTTTAAAAAACAGGAACATTTTTGTTCGGTATTTATATATTTGTCAGAAGAATCGACAATTAAAGTTCTTATTTTGCTTAAATTAAACTAAGTTGTACTCAGTTATCTCATTGGTCGAAATTTTTTATTTTATTTTTTGATTTTACCTTTTTTCCCTGTTGCAATAATTTTTCAATTTAATTAATTGTAAATAAAATGTTATATAAATATTAAATATAAATTAATTAGCGAATTATATATTTATATAGTAGCAGTCATAACTAAATTTTTATTAATTAAATTGACAATTATTAATTTAACATGTTAGTTACAATTTCATTCTCTCTTCCTTTTTTATTTGTATGTATCTTGTATGCGATGATTTTTAAATGTTTTTTCCAACTTTTGTTAAGCTTCAATTTAGATTTGACTTATAATGTTAATGAGAAGATGCAATAAACTTTTTCGTATTTCGTATTTTCAATCCTGGAATTTGTGACAAGCAGTTGGCACATCGGTTGTGGCTCGGACTCTCAATCTTGAGGTCGGGGGTTCAAAACTCTCAATGTGACCTAATATCAAGCACTAATTCTAACCGCTCATATATGTTTTGTTTGATCCAGTGACCAGGGCTAATAATGTAAAGGGCATGGAGGCAGTTTACTGCAATATGCGTTATATAAATCTCGCAATTATTATTATAGTATACAGCAAGGTAGGAGGATTGTTCTGCTATTTTTATGGGGTCTACCATTTAGGGAAAATTGGCAATTGATGATTTCTCCATGTAATCACAAAATATTTGAGAATTCAGTTCAGGGATCACTATTGCATGCAAACAACCGAGCATATATTTTAGTAAAATTTTAGCCTAGCCTGCTAACAAAATTGTTACTAAAATATTACATAAACATGAGTGGATTTTAAACAGAAAATAGTTAATGCATGGCTTACCATCTAGAGGGTTTCCAATGCGGACTTGTGAGTATGCTTTCCTAAGCCTTTCAACAACTTGATCATGGATATTTTCATGTACAATCTTTGGATAAATAACAAAGAAAAATTGAAATGAATACTAATAAACACATAAAAAAAATCTTTTCAAACCAATCTTGGAACATTTCATGTGAAGAAACTGATCTATTTTAAGCTTTACTTAGACTCAATTTACAGAGTATAAAATGTCATATTAACACACAAGTAAAAAATCAGTCATTCCAAAAAAAGTGAGAATTTTTTTCCAGATTAGAGTGTCCTTCGAGTTCAATTTAATTTAAAGTTAATGATGTAAAATTTGTCAACTATATTGGTTTATGTGGTGGGAATGCTTAAATACTTATTTTAACTTGATATTATTTAGTAGTACATTTGAGTTGTGAAAATAATTTCTCCTGATTTCCAATATATAGCACTAGAATTTTAACTCGGGTATGCAAGTTTATTGATCTATGAGTTTTAAATTAATTGCTGATGGGCTAAATAAATTTAATGTTAACTGCTGTCGACCGTGGTGAAAACTGAGGTGCAATGTAATTTAAATAGATGACACATCTAAATGGCACTTTGTTTTTTTATTCAAAGCTGATTTTTCTTTATTGGAGTAGAGCTGCAGATATGTGGCTAGGAATCCTACTTCCCAACCTCAGAGTCAAGGGTTCAAATCCTGCGATAAGAATTTTTTTTTATATATAAAGAACACAAGTCACTAGGTTAATGGGACTTTGTGCTTTGTAGAAAGTCCCTTCCATCCAGTAATATAGCAATTCGCTCAGTTTGACGAGAATGAAATCGCATGTAGGCTTCATTTGGCCAGCAGGTTGCATTTGGCAACAGGCAGCCATTTGTGCTAACATAACATAACTCATAACAATAAGAAAATATGGGCACACAAACATGGAACAGAGACAAATGTGAGTCCAATCAAAATTGTAAAGTTGAGTCCCTTTAAAAGTATAAATGCATAGAATTAAAATTGTATTAATAATGTAAACTGTATCAACTAAAGTTCATATTAGTCAGCTGTAGGTCCATGGCATCCATCCCTTTCATTATTCCCTTAAAATAAAATATATATATTGAGAGAAAAGATTCAAATATCCAAAAGACCATGCAAGTTACCATTATCATTACCATCACCCCACCTGCTAACTCACAAAGTAACACCACCAAATTCGATTACTACATAAAAATATGTGCACATAAATAATAAAATAAGGGGTCTTTCATAATGATACCATGTATCTACAAATCTAATTATGATATTACAAAAAATATGACCACATAAATAATAAAATAAGGGGTCTTTCATAATGATACTATGTATCTACACATCTAATTCTGATATTATATAAAAATATGAACACATAAATAATTAAATAAGGGGTCTTTCATATTATGATACCATGTATCTACAAATCTAATTGATTATTACATAAAAATATGACCACATAAATAATAAAATAAGGGGTCTTTCATAATGATACCATGTATCTACAAATTTAATTAATTATTACATAAAAATATGACCACAATAAAATAAGGGGTCTTTCATAATGATAAAATGTATCTACACATCTAATTCTGATATTACATAAAAGTATAACCACATAAATAATGAAATAAGGGGTCTTTCATAACGATACCATGTATCTACACATCTAATTCTGATATTACAAAAAATATGACCACATAAATAATAAAATAAAGGGTCTTTCATAATGATACTATGTATCTACACATCTAATTCTGATATTACATAAAAATATGAACACATAAATAATAAAATAAGGGGTCTTTCATATTATGATACCATGTATCTACAAATCTAATTGATTATTACATAAAAATATGACCACATAAATAATAAAATAAGGGGTCTTTCATAATGATACCATGTATCTACAAATTTAATTAATTATTACATAAAAATATGACCACAATAAAATAAGGGGTCTTTCATAATGATAAAATGTATCTACACATCTAATTCTGATATTACATAAAAGTATAACCACATAAATAATAAAATAAGGGGTCTTTCATAATGATACCATGTATCTACAAATCTAATTAATTATTACATAAAAATATAACCACAATAAAATAAGGGGTCTTTCATAATGATAACATGTATCTACACATCTAATTCTGATATTACATAAAAGTATAACCACATAAATAATAAAATAAGGGGTCTTTCATAATGATACCATGTATCTACAAATCTAATTAATTATTACATAAAAATATGACCACAATAAAATAAGGGGTCTTTCATAATGATAAAATGTATCACATCTAATTCTGATATTACATAAAAGTATAACCACATAAATAATAAAATAAGGGGTCTTTCATAATGATACCATGTATCTACAAATCTAATTAATTATTACATAAAAATATGACCACAATAAAATAAGGGGTCTTTCATAATGATACCATGTATCTAGAAACCGATACCATGTATCTAGAAACCGATACCATGTATCTAGAAACCTGTATTCACATACTTTGGCCTTTTTTAATTGTTTCGAATTTGCATTGTGAATTCATTTTTATTTCTCCCTTATTATTTATTTCCTGTTTTATATTTTATTTTGAATTGATTTATTTTCTTTAAATTAAGAATGATTTGATTTATTGTTCTCATATGCATAGGCTTATTATCTATATTTACTTTATTTGATTATTTGATTTAAGCTACTTTATTCTAAACTTTTATTTTCTCTGTTGTTTTAATGTTTCTTTTGTCTATGTACTTTAATTGTTTTTTAATCAGGCTCGATTAATTTACATCTTTTATTGTACTGTAATTTTAATTATTTATATTAAGTTTTTTATATAATTTTGAATTAATTCATTATGTAAATTAAAAATTGAAAGGTTGTTATTTATAATACTGTTAATTATTTGGTTTCATACTCTCTTTTGTTTTGTTTTACTATGTGGATATTGAGGGTCCCTAATGACCAGCTTTGGCTGGATGGCCCACCCACATTAAAGATTGTTGAAATAAATAAATAAATGTGGCAATTCCAAAAATGTTAAAAACAAAAAACTTACCAATCTTCTTGTTGTGGTGCATCGCTGACCAGTTGTACCAACGGATGCAAAAAGAACAGCAGGCACAACCATGTCTAGATTGGCATCGTCCATAACTAAAATACAAATAATAACAATAATAATAGTATAATAATAATAATAATAATTATAAGTATAATAATAATAATAATAATAATAATAATAATAATAATAATAATAATAATAATAATAAAATAATAATAATAATAATAAATAATAATAAGGTTTGCATGGCGAATGTATATGTTAAGTTGTGGTACACCACGTACATAGTTCTGAAAAGAACTGTTGTTTTTGTTAGAATATCTTGACGTTTTGATTGAGTTGCTTCAATCGTCATCAGGAGAATAATATCTGCAGTCCAAACCGGGAAGTACACATAAGTAAATTTAGCATAAAAATCATTGAGTTCTGCTGATGCTTACACCATCATCTACTGCTTATTTTATTGTATGTTATTTTATATTGATGATATAGACAAACCAAAGCTAAAATAAAATTGGAAGATACTTATTTCAAAATATTACAATAAAAAAAATTAATTTAAAAACATATTACATCCCCTATAACACTGTCCAAAGCCTTATTTTCATGTCTCCAAGTGGCCATCTTAAAAAACCTGACTTTAAGATAGTCTGCTCCAGGAATACAGATTAGTATGTAGGGTAGATGTGATCCTTCGGAACAAATGCATCAATCACAATTAAAGACCGCGCTAATTGACTATAGCTCAAAAGTCAACGATAACTAACGAGAATTAATTTTCACAAAACTCCAAGCCTTGAACTTAACGTGCAATGAGAGAAAATTTACAGCCTGGTTAATTTTCTCACTTTAAATTTACAATCAATCTTACTTATTCCATGAACGTTAAGAGATTTCTTTAATGCATAGAGGCTGTTAAGTTCTAAGGTATAACGGACTACTGTATATACAGGTGACTTCAGGCTGTCTACTGAGGCGTCTGTATAGCGCATACCTATAATTGCATTGTTACCACCGAGTTCCAAGATTGACCTTCCGAATCGTTCTTGAACAATTGTTCCAACTTTTTGACCAACCTACCAGAAAGAATATACATTTAAAAAGATACTTCGTAGGTGGTACTGTCAACATTTTAAAAATACAAAGGTATGATTTATCTATTATTATAATTATTATTTAGGGCAGTAATAATATATGAACATCAAAGATAGCGTTCTCTGCAGTTTGCGTGTAACAAATAGAAGTGTCCAAATTCACGCAGAAAACAATAGAAAGTAATTGCAATTGAAAGAGGGCGTCCTAGTTGTTACTATGGCGGTTGTTCCAGAATTAACACTGAGATCATAGATGTCAAAGTTCAAAAGTAATTGTAATTGCAAGAGGACGTCCTACACTGCGTTATTACAGAATTTGCACGCAGGAATCATGGAGAACACTATCTTGCTATAAGGTCTTTGATGAACATTTATATAAAGAAGCAATGCTGAAGAGATGTGAAGCAGTGGAGATGTCGAAGGGATATGGAGCGCAGGATGATAGGAAAAGGGTTTGGATGATGAAGATGGAGGTTGGATTTGAAAAGGGATATAAAACAGAGCTGTGGGAAATGTATATAATGCAGAAGGATATACAACCTTATAATTATTGTTTTAACAAGACACTAGGGACTTTTAGATTGTGTGGACGTGGACCTGGTTCACGTCGACTAGTCATGCGTGTCAACGTAGTCAACTATACCTGTTGACTACAAATGAAAACCTTTTAGATTGTAGCGCGCGCTAGGCAACCTTATTAAGCAGCTGTGTCATGGCGAACCTTCATCGACTTCGCGAAATTGTCGTTTTTGCATATTCTACAGGTGTCTTGGACGATGAAAAATTCATGTTTTTATACAATACAAATAAACCCAAAAATGCCGAATTAAGGTACCGAGATTATCAGAAATTTGATCTAGACAAGTACAACAATGATGAATGTAATGCATACTTCAGGGCGCATCCGGTGCGTCAACTGCGATGATGCAGATAGTTAACATGCCTCCCCGGCCGGCTGCGCTCGCTGCGGTGCAAGTTTGCATTGCATGCACACTGGCGTGAGCATGGTCATGAATTCCACAGCCTTTTTTGTATTTACGAAGGCAGAAGTTAGAAACTTCCCCCCGACCTCACATGACCTCATCACGTAGCAGTCCACTATGTCGACGTGCAAATCTAAAAGTCCCTATTGTTAGGAATGATACTGTACATGTATGCACTAAAAAACCACAATATTTACCGGAGTACTTCCCGTGAACGATACTAATGGTATCCTTGTATCATGCGATATTGCCTCACTGAAAAAAAAACAAAAAACCAATGAAATCATGAAAATTTTAAAAAGTTGCATACTTGAATAAATCAAACGCCTACACAGAGTATTAGACTGATTAATGGGTTAAATTTGCAAAATTTTAGCCCTAATAAAGAAGCAGGACAACACAACTGTAGGTAAAGGTTGATTGATTTTTCATGATAAAGTTGTCATAGCAACATTATAACAGTAAATTTTCTTACCCAATATCAGTTCCTCCAGTTATCATTGAGCAAACAGCAGGAGAAATATCATTGTTGATAAGTGTGTCGGTCATAATTCTACACATGATGTTAATACAAATTAGAAAATAAATTGTAAGATGACATGTTGAATAAATTATTGACATATACACCCTAAAATAAATTACAAAGCACAATTATTCATAGTTATTAATACAAAAACGCATAAAAAATTTCAATCACACCTATTATATGCTATAATGGAAATATGGAATTTTTATACAGTACAAATTTATGTAGAAAGTGAAATGTTAAAAGATTAAATGATCATATATAGCGGACAATACCAAGGCCGCTAGGCACTTCACGTGATTACATACTCATCTATCATACACAAATACAACATATTATCAGCACTCTGGGAGAGTAACAACATAATGCTGCTACTAAATCAGTGATTTGTATTGATAACTACCGTGTACTGTAATACCCCTGGGTAGAGTATTTGGCCGAGACATAATTATTCCTGCTTCTTGTCCTAACGACTCTGGTTCAACCCTGGCCAGTGTTGGGTATTACTGTAATTGGAGTCTGAGCGCTGTGCTCCTCAAATAACCCTTGCATTAGACTTGGGATAAGGGATAATATATCCATTATGTTTCATTTCATTTATTATTTCCAGGCAATATAAAACACAGTATGACAAAGACACAAGCCTGAGGATAACGTACACGACAAACATACATAATAAATACAGCAAGCTAAAATAAGGAACAATGTATCTATTAGAAAGTATAATACATACTCCAAGTATTGAAATACACGCCATCGTGTTGGGATTCAATATTTCGACATTAATTATGTCATCATCAGGAATGTATCTATTATATGTTTCATTTCATTTATTATTTCCTGGCAATATAATATAGTGGTTAGCTATAAAAGTGTGATATTTCAAATACCAAATGTACAGGTCTTAAATAAAGCGGCCTAATGACTTGTACATTGACACCTTTTTAAAGAAAATCGGTTGAAAAATGGGACAGTGCAGGCCAAAATAAAAAACTAAATTGAGGGGCAGGGGAAAAATAACCCCTTTGACAGTTAAAATACATGAAAAAGGTCATAACTTTTTTATCTGAAGTCACATTTTGGTAATATTAGTGTCTATGTTTTTGAGGCCAAGGAATTGATTAGTGTTGTCAGAAATAGCTTAAAAATTAATTATAATGGTCAATTTCAAATTTTATGAATTTGTTTAGGTGTTACGGAAAGAAAACAAGATACGCACTCTAGGATAAAAAAATAGGTGCTGTACTATGTATTTTTTTTTTCTATCATTAATCATTGTAGCATTAGCAATCATCTCCACCAGCTTAATTAAATTTACAAAGCATTTTAACATGCATTATAGGCTTACATGTATCTTACTTTTGATAACTGAAAATGGATACAATGTTGACTACTATGGACATGCTATACTGTGTAACCATAATGTTGCAACACATGGAAGGTTTATCAATAACACTAAATTTCATAAGCATTTGCTTATCTACAGGCTATCCACTCAATTAAACATTTAGAAAATTGTATTTATTGTATAATGATTAACAAATACTACACAACTTGCCCACTGAGATCCCAGAATTTAATAACTTTTTGGAGCCCTAGCCAAAATTTCCAATATTTGAAATTGGACAAAAAAGGAAAATTTAATCTTTAAAGTGGGTGAGTGCCTTGCTCAAGGGTACTACATTACATATATTTAAGGTGGGAACACATCCCATTATTTTTAGTATCTATGGTAGCACGACAGTAGGGTCTCCTGGTAGTGTACATTCTTATTACTAAACTGAAGAGTCTGAAGACGGCTGCTGTGTTCACAAAAGCTTGTGTTGTATCTAATAATTTTTTTTTTTTTTTTTTTGTGAAGAGCCTTTTTAATAACTTACTTTGTGATGGCAACGCTCACGAGAGGTGTTGATGGCGCACCTTTCCTAAAAAAAAAAAATAAATTATCATAATTCATGTTAATTTGTTAAAACAAGCTACAGTAGCATACAATATCCATCATATTCATTATTTATTATTTTCCAGGAAGAAGTTAGAATAGAAGATAAGATTCAAAGTTACATCAGTTACATCATAAGATAATAACTTGGAACAGAATAGAATTTGTCATTTCATTTATCTATCGATGATAATTATTATATTACTATGACAGGCTAAAGCTAAAGGCCAAGTAACAGAGAACCAAGCCCCACCATGGTATGAACAAATTTTAAGAATACAGTAGGGTCCTCAGATTGTACACAGACTGTTTCCTCCCTCACTTACCATAAGAGCGTGTTGCCACAAGCCAATGATAAAGAAGCATTCCAACCATACACAGCAATTGGGAAATTGAATGCAGTAATAACACCAACAAGTCCAATCGGATTCCATTGCTCAATCAATGCATGGCCAGGACCTACAGCAGAAGAGAGCAAGCATAACAACGTTTAGAAGTTTGCTGAAATATTAAATTTACAATTAGCCTTGTAGAGAGAAAAAGATAATTTTAAAAGCAATTTGAAATCCTGAAATTAAGTCTGTGCAATTACTTATTAATATAGATAATATTCATAATTGAAGAAACTGATGTAAAAATCCATTGCTCTTTAAATCAATATTGTAATTTAATCTAGCATCAGTTAATAATAAAACTACCATCTCTCATAAAATATGGATACTGTTACAATTCAATTTACAACATTGAATAGCTATTCAAAAGGATCAAAAGTTTATTACAGTACACAGACATTTCAATACACAATCCATAAATTAATTACTAGTCAATTTCTGGACCAAAAAAACATAATTGTATTACATCCAGTGTTCGATTTACCCAGTATCGCATCGCAAAATGTGACGCGTTTTACATTAATAGCGAAGCACTTCCACAAATGCATCACCAACAAATGCGACGCAATTATTTGCCTAGAATGAACCACTCAGTCTTCAGCAAGGCCTGGCTGTAAAAACTAAGAGGCTTGGTGCACTAAAAAGTCCCGAAATTTTTTTTTAAACAGTCAAAGTCAAGTTGTTATCCAATGTACATTATGCTTGTTTACATCGAGTTCACACATACAGTGCTCCCTACATTACATAAACCATTGTTTTACTTAAATACTTATAAATGTTGGAAAAAAAAAGACACATCACTGTGATTTTCTTATTTAAAAATGTGTCATTTCTTTTCTTTAAAAATCATTAACTATCACTGCAGAAAAAAATGCTATGCACAATTTTGGAATTGCTACACAACACAAAGTGTATAGCAGTTTTTGTTACACACAAAATATGCTGGAAATTGAAAGCTGATTACATCTGATAATTGGTGATGACTTTTTTTTTCCAATTTTGATTTTCAACAGCAGGCTCACTCTGAGTATAGAAAATAAGCAAGTGATATATGGACTTTTTTTCTACCTACCATAGACAGTATTAATAATCGGTAAATATTAATACGCAAATACAAAAGAAAGAATGGAAATAACCTTTTAAATATGTAATATACTACTTCTATTACCTTTTCAAAATGAAATTAATTATCTGATATCAATTTGGCATTCTATGAAATATACTATCTTCTTATTTTGTGCAAACTCCATAAAAAAAAGGCTTTTTGTTAATTGACTACATTATTGACTGTGTCTACGTATCTATTTTATTAATCTATTCTGTGTAAACTTTAGCCAAATGAAGGCTTTCAGTGATGTAAATTTGTAGCAAGTTCCAAGAAATGATGAGACTAATTGATTCACATACCGGGGATGGGCAGGATAGCCATGGTTAATTAAATGGCACTGTCAAAATTGTCTTCATGAGTAAATGTTGATAACATTAAAGAAACGGAAAGGAATTGTAAATATTGTAAATGTACAGTACATTGCCAATTGGTACATTTCAATTTCACATAGAATTTGTGGTTATTCTATCTAGCAGACAGGTTGGTTTTTTTTGTTTTTTTTGTTTTTTTTTATAGTAATGGTAATGGATGTAGACTTCTAAAGAGCATATACTAGGTCTCTATACGCTTTCAACAAATTTCCAAAAGAAGTTGAATAAAAGAAACAAATAAGATGAAGAAGAGACAAAGGAAAAGGAACAACAGAAAACAATCAACAAAAAGAAAAACAATTAGATAGATGAGAAAAGATGAGTTTTAAATCTGGCCTTAAATTGGGAAATAGATGGAGATTCTTGTATATTATTATGGGGAGTGTTCCAGAGATTAAGAGCGGCGACCTTAAAAGAGCACTCACCCTAGGACTTCAGCTTGACTTCAGTGTAGATGTGATAAAGGTGGATCGAAGTGAACAACAGCAGGTTTGGGAGTGGTATGTATTAATAATATATAACTCAGTAACCATACTTTGCAGGCCAAAGATTATTTTTTTCTTCCTGGGCACTCATTAGAGCTGCTTCTTACTGTACATCTAACTTCTAGCTTTGGAAGGTATAGTACTTATAAGTACATGAATATGGTTGAGTAGTTAAGAAGGGAAATTTAACACAGGCTTATGTCTTCCTTGGACAAATAAAATGAATTGTGTATGGTATATGCATGAAGTTATTGAGCTTAGATTGCAAGATAATGTTATGTTTTTTATGCATGATGAAAGATTATTAATCCCATGCGGCATAAAATTGAACCATGTTGATCAGAGAATTAAACTATAATGTGGATTCATTATAAATATCAAATTTTGATAGGATAGTTAAAAATTACTTTACCATCAGTGCTTGGAGATGTTAGTAATTTTGATAAACAAGACAGAATTCAAGCTAAATCACAGAAGTGTACCGATTCTACAAAAGAAGTCATGGCAAAATCTAAAAAAAAACATGTTTAAACTTCATGTAGATCCTGTCAACGGCCAAGTCTAAAGATGTAAATATTAGGGAATGTGCTCAACCACAGACAGCAATATATCTCTAGATTAAAGTGTGATTTACTCTTATACTTTATTTTATTTAGTTGGATAGCCTTCTCAGTGTCATATACTTCTCATTCAAAGAGCTTTTAAAACTAAATAACTTTTTTTTCAGATATCCAAAACCGATCACAACTTGGCATACATTGTAAGCCATATGGTTAAGAAATGATTAATTATATGTATCCTCAACGACTAACAATTTATGAAAACATTTAAAAAAAAAAAAAATTAATACCACAATACACAATATATTTAGTTAGAGAAAGTACAGTATGGTAGACAGTGACCCCTGGTTCTCAATCCCTATGAAACCAAGTGGAAATACTACATCTGCTTAATTTGATTTTATTATAATTTTTAATTAATGTTAGTAACCAACATACTTTATAAAATGTAATCTACCTCCAACAAAATACATTAAATATTACTGCAAGGAAATCCTATAAGGGAATATAATCCTTTGCTGCTAAAACCTTGCATAAAGAATTCAGCCTTTCCAATCTGATATACTTTTTTGTATTTTTTAACAGTGACCTAAATAAAAAATTTAAATTTCAGCTTCAAGCTGCTCACTAATACACAACGGTAATTCAAGTAGAGATATTTTGAAAGTACTTGGCAAAGCTACATCATATTCCCGACAGACGGCACACATGCAAGTTGACTGCCTCCTACCCTTAAACAGTGGACGAGTCAAGTGGCTAATATAAGGTAAGTAATATTTTAACCATCTTATTGTCAAATGGACATGCATGAGATTGGAGACATTTGAACTTTATCATAGTGTGGTCAAGTGGTACAGCATATGGGAACTGAATACGATTTCTTAAGGGTCTGGATATATTGATGATAGATGATTTTAAAGTTCATTTCATTTCAAAATGAAGCATGCAGGTCAATAGATGTGCACAGCTAATTGAAACTAAAGAGAGTTGAGATATTTTGTTTGCTATCCATTAAAACAAAAAAAAAATCATTCAAGCATGTTACTCAGTTTGTACAGACTATTAGAAAAAAAAAGAAAATAAGTGTTGATGTGTAATACTGTAAAATGCATCAGAAATGTTTGGTGCTCAAAAAAATATTATACTTCTGTTTTTGGGGATAATAATAACAATAGTATTACAACAATATTATATAACAATATTATTATAACAATATTTTATAACAATATTATATAACAATATTATATAACAATATTATTATTATTATAATTACATTATTTCATGTACACCTTCATTTGTGGTCATGACAATAAAGTTTATCTTATTGTTAATTATTTCTGTAATATATGCTGAGTTAACCATCACTTCAACAAGATTTCCTTAAAAAAATCTCGGACTTTAATGTCTTTTCTTTTTGCAATATCTTGCACATTTTGAAGTATTTTTATTATTTTAGGTTTGAAATGAACGATAGTAAAAAAAAAATATACAGTATGAAAAAAAAACATTGATGAAAGCCCAACCCTGCACAGATATACTGTATTACAGTATAGTATGCCTGTGAAACACAAACTGTTCACGTAGTGGTGTTTACTACAACTAAAGTTAAATGGCAAAAGGGCATCTATTGTGTCTTCTCTTGTATCGTATCCTCCATAAAAAGTAAAAAACTCATCCATGGAGTGTAATGTTTAATGTCAAATAAGTCGCTTATATTGTTATAATTACCTCGTACAGTACTTTTAATTGGTGGATATGCTTTTTGTTCGGTGTGAAAGAAATAAGAAAAAGACTCCAAGATATCAACTTGATGTTTTAGATATTATTAATGTGTAATGACATTTTACCAAGAAAAGCAATTTTCGTGGACGTATCACATTTCATTACTGTTTGGTAAATAAACTGCCCTTGAGCAGGATGGTTTAATTAAACAGCAACATACTTGTCAAAAAAAAAGCTCCTAACTGTGACTTCAATTGCTATTAATGTTCAACATCAAAGCAGGACACCCAATCTGGGTACTTGCAGCAAGTATGAACATTTGATAGAGAGGTGACCTTTTGGTGGAACTGCCCAATAAGCATTTTCATGAAGCGCTCCGTATTTATGTTTTATAGCTCATTATATAAAGCGCGTGAATATTAAACTTGTCTTCACCACCTTTTGCAATGTTACTTACATTAATGTTGCACATCTATTCTAATAGTACTCTCTGTATGTGTATTGATCAGTGATGAAAATATTGCCTGGGTTGTACTGATTTATTTATTTTTTTATTTTGAAATATTGGGTTTTGATTATATTTTTATTTTTTCCACTTCATTTTAAGACCACTTTAAGTGCCGGTCTTTAATCAGACGGATTCTAAGTAGAAACCAAAACTGCTAAAGACCATTAAAACCCTGGTCCTTAATTCTAGTGAGACCTGTAGTTATTTTCTACTTCCTTCATTAGCCAGGGAATTGCTAGAAGTCTGTAGCACTATCCCATTACACATACTGCCACTGCCAGTGACATACATTCTCCAGTTTGGAGAGCACTAGAGTTTTAGAAGAAAGATAAATACACATAAAAACTTACTCCAATGATTAATAATTAAACTACATTCATAAATCAAGCATTTAAATAATACGGCAAAGCAATTTCAAGGAAATGCTTGAGTTTTTCTGTCAATATTGATAGGCTTTTAAGGTTTATATACTGTAATTGAAGTGATGGATGAAGTAAAAAAAGTTATCTTTGGATGCTTCAGCAGTTAATAACGGTGCCAAAAGATATGAGATGATGTCCTCTGAGTGACAGGTAAAAGGTGTGATGTATTTTAATATCAACACATGCTTTATTTATTTATTGTATCAATCCAAAAGTGAATAATTTGTTTCTGAGCCAGCAAAAAAATAATCCAGTGAGTAAAACAGAATTGGATATAACAGGTTTTCACCTCACTGGTCAGTGGTAAAGTGGGACTTTAAGTATAACAACATCCATAGCTCTCCATCATTGTAATTGTTGTTCTTGAAATCGAGCTCTTCATAAGTTAATCTGTTTAATGTATAATTATGATTTAGTGAAGTTTAAAAGGCAAAGTGTGATTGCTTGATGGAAAACTACCTTAATGACTGTGATTGAAAAAACACTTCAATAATACTATGTATTCTAAAAATTGAAGAATTGAAACATGACTGAATTTTTACTGTTTTTACTAAGCTGTGCTTAGGTAATTTTTGTTTTACAATTGAGTCAATTTCTTGAATTAGATGATGGAAATTGTTGTGTAAAAAAATATACACATTGGCTTACTTACCATGCATTGAAATGTAAGTCTGATTGTGTGAGATATGAAAGGATTTCAAAAACCAATTTCAAAAAAATCAATATCGCCAATGTAATTGAAGTGAGAGCAGGAATAGACTGCTGTCACACACCCACAGGTCAATATTTCAAACAATTTAAAAGCATGAATTTTTTATTTAATTTTGTTAACAACCTGAAATTCACTTCACAATATAATATTTGGTTGTAAAGTAGCTACAGTATGTTCTAAATGAATTATATTTGTTGGAGGATCTCCCACTATTTAATGCTGTGTAAAGAATAAATTGTATTGCATAAAGATTTGGAGGCTAATATTATAAAATATACATTTAGCTCAAGTTCATTAACAAAGGATTTTCCTTCACTTTTGATCATTAAAAATAATGTATTATTTTCATAGATTAAAATATACAGTCTATCTTTGATGAGCCAAAAAGTTGAAAAATTGGATTCAATATTTGGAATGTTCACTTTTTCTATAAAGGAAGCTAGAGACTTTCAATTGATGAGAAAAAAAAAAGGCTTTGCCAATATCCAAAATCAACGACTGCTAACTAAGTAGTGGTCATGTGGCTTTTATGGTATCAAATGCAGCGTGCTTAGGAAGACGAAATGTTAGTTTTAAAACATGGGCCATTAATGTTTTATTGATAGTGTCTAATGTATGACAAGGAAATTGCAGTATAATTGTTTATCTACAGAGATCAACTTTTGACCCTTTTTCAAAACCTTTCAATTGAACTTTTTACCATGTTTTTCAAAATTATAAATTAGGAGATAAAATAGAGAACCAAATTTCATACAAGTTCTAATTTTTTACATCTCAGTAACTAACCAACATTTTGCAAATAATAATTACTTACGTTCCGAGGGAAAAACATGTCCGCCAAACATTCGCGAGAGACCAACAGCATAGTCACAAACATCAACAAACTCTTGCACTTCTCCCTCCCCTTCTGGCAGGATTTTACCCATCTCAATAGATAGCTAAAAAATGCAAAAACAGTGGAGTGGTTTAAACACATTTTACCTTCACCTAAAGCATGCAAGGGGAACACTCTGGTAAGGTACTCCTTCTGAGTACTAATTAGGAGAGGATATGAGAGAGGAGGATCTTGACAAGGTACCCCTTACTATTACAGGCTGAAGGAGTCTCCTGCATCTAGTGGGAGACTATCTTTTACCCCATTTCAAGCCCTCCCACCAGCCACATACCTTCTCCAGCGTTTCATGTGTCTCATAGCAAAGAAAAAGTAACCTTATGATAAATCTTTTAAATACAAGCCAGGCCCACACGTACATACTACTATCAGGTACTATTTTGCCTCAAAACATTGGAAGAAATTTGAGCTATTACCTGCACACTGAGTGGCCCCTAGAGTGCACCAGAGAGCATCTAGGTACAAAAATTTAGGCGGGCCCCAGACCCACACCATTAGAGTCCCTTCTATGGTAAAATCTAAAGCAGCACTTCTCTCTAGCTTGGAATGTATGAGAGGAGGTCCTTGGCATGATATTCTTTGAGTACCGTACCCATAAGGGACATAGCAGAAGGCCCCCTTGAATACTCATTAGTGATATGAGAGAGAAGGATATTCATAAGGTGACATCAGTGCTGATTTAGGGGTATAGTAGAGGAAGGGTGGTCTTTTTAAGCTAAACTGACAATGTTCCCTTACCTGTTTACTGTAATCCCTAGTGACACATTCTCTCAAGGCATTGCATAATACACAGTTAACTGATAAATTACACGCTGATCTCCATCAACAACTACTTTCTAATATTTTAGCGAAGGGAAAGGGGATAGGAATAAAGAAACAAATGAATTGAGAGAAAAATAGATGGAGACAATTAGCCTAGACCAAAAAGAAATAAAAAATAGGCTAAATACCATTTGTATTTCTAAAATGATTTTACTTTCATTTAAATCATACAATTGAGTAAACTCTGGCATCTAAAACTTTCCAAATTAATGTATCAATTAAGTCAATTTTGAACCTTTCAACCCACTCCTGAGGCACTTATTACAACTGACACTCTTTCTAGCAGGTTAACTCCAATCAATATACGATACTCCTTATTTTATAGGGTGAAACAGTCACACAATTTGTTAGGCCAATTCCTGTGGTAGTTAATCAAGGCCAGTGTTCTCCCAATTGAAAAATATTTACTTGTAAATTTGTCCATAAAAATTCAGCAATGCGCCCAGTGTGAGGCGTTACCCCTTTTGAGTGGGGTTTAATGGCTTGAAGAAACAACACATATATTCATAGCCTAAGCATAGACTGGAATGATGTTAATTTACTGGAAAAGGGCCAGCCTAGACTACTGAGGCCTTAGATCAGTAGTTTTTTTTTATTATACAACTCAACATGTTTACTGGTTTGGACAGTTATTTTTACTTTGAAAATTGATGGCTAAAACACCTTCAAGAGAACACTGAAGGTGTACCCAGAATATGGATAAATAGGTTAAAAATCAAAACAATTTCATGTTATTAAAACTATTTTAGAAAGGCAAATATCCTCGAAAACAAAATTTAACTGGCTGAGTTTATTTGTAGTTCTGCTCAGTTGAGAATATAATTGCCAGAAATCTGCCTAGGTTTGATATAAAATTGATTGGAGGGAACAAATGAGATCAAAACAAATATCTTATTCTGTAGCAGACTTTCGTCTCGTAGAATGAGGAATAAAACAATGGTAAGAGTATGCAAAGCAATAAATAATGCTAAGCCCATCATATCAGGGTTTTTATGTCTAAAACACAGCCAACAGAGACACAATAACAACCTCCAATATAATGTTGTAGAAAAAGGTGTATTTACTACTCTATAACAACACAAACATAAGAGTTGCAAAACTAAATGCATATTTGTTAATTTGCGCCTAAAATCATCCCTGTTTATATCACCGTAAAATAAATAATTCACACAGAGACTTCACACAGGTTGGTTGAAGGAAAATTTACAACAAAGTACAAACAATTAATTACAACATTACATTATGTATATCAACATTAATTTGATCAAACATTATCAAGCATAAAGAGAACATTCACATCTTAAAATGCAGCTATTTAAATCCTTTAAGTAACACTGTAGATAAAGTGCTTTGGACACAAGGAAGGGATAGAGCCACCTGGGATTGGAGAGCTGCTTTCACAATACCTCCATGCTTTCACTAAGCCACATTTCTAATGCACCATCCAGCTAATGAAAACATATTTTAAGACAGAAAGTGCAAAATAATGTGTGCACATCTTGTTTTCACAAACACTTTCTTTATTCTTACTTCAATCGAAATGTTCTTTATACTATAATCTTACCGACACCTTTCCCGACGGCTGAGTGACTAAAAGTCATATCTATCAATTTAAGATTGCTTCTTGTTGTATTTTCCGGTCTTTGGTGTGTACATATAACTTATGAATTATGCAGCTTACAAGATTGGATTGGATTCAACTGTAGTTCATAAATGAAACCCAATTAGATTGAAATATAATGAATTGAAACGTCGGCCCGTTTTAAGGAAAATGTCACCGTCGCAGCATCAATCAGCGAAAAGTATATTACAACATACTGTAAATGTCCGATTTTTGGCACTTTTAAAGCCTGGTTGACTTATATTTTTGGTGGTGTATGAAAACAGCAGCTGGCTTTAATATCTACACATCGGCATAAATAAATCTAACAAAGGACACTTTCAGAACTGACTGAGAATGACGCCGACACTTAAAATTACTTGGAATTTACAAAGTAAGCAATTCATGCCTTTTTATTTAAATTTGTTTAAAGCCAAACACAGTGTGTGCTTCTAGGCTATTATACTTACAAGTACAATAATATATTGGGGTTTTTTTATTGTATATACAATATAGCTGAACCTTTTTAAAATGACAATTTACATGTTTACATGTCTATCAGTCTAAGTATTTGTATTAAATATTTAACATTGATTTTTGGATTTTGTAATTCTGCTTGAGATTGTACATGTTATGCATAGATTTGGCCTGCAGATTTATATCATGTGACCAGCTCTGACAAAATCCTACGTTTGCACATTCCAATTCTGGGCTAGCATCCAAATTATCCGTGATTCTGCATCTCGACCAATTTCACATTTTTTGCAGTTTATGAAAAAATAAATATTAAAGAACAATTCTGCTTAATATTAATCACTATGACAGATGTATTAAAACTATTTTTAATACCTACCTCAAGAGGAAACCTATGAATCTTTGGATGTAGTTTACTCGTAACCTACTTTACAGGATCCAATGAATTAAATATTTATTTATTTACGTAATACTCAACAAATTCTCGTTAAATAAACACTTTTTAAAAGATTAAATATGTAGAATTCAATAATACCAAAAACCTAATTTTGAATTTTTACTGACAAACATAGAGTCGGGTCACATTATGTGTGTATGTAATGCTTCATGACTAAGCCATAGCTTCTACAGATGCATTTAGGAGGATTATTTGAATGTGCTAGCCTTGAAAAACAGGGCATAAGCTTAATCTCGCAAGCACTTGATTTATAGTATAATATTGTTATGTACTTCAACATGAACTTTCACTCTGTAAACCAACAATAGCAGTTTCCTTATGTACTATGGTAAATAATCAGACATTAATAAATAATTATAGAAGCTTGTGGTCCAGCGGGAAGGATTAAGACCTGAAACCCAGACTGCTCAATTTATTCATTCATACATCCTTAGGCAAAGCTCTTCATCTACAATGTCTATAATTAAGAATGGCTACCTTAAGGATGTGAATGCTAGATTACAGTAATTCACAGTGTATTAATGTTTCCAGAGTCTTACAGATCGGTAAAGATCTTGTCTAACTTATGTAAAAAGTGAGAGAATAAGAAAAGAGAGGGAAACAAGACAACACAGTAAAACAATAAGGTCTGTTGATGATTAAGGGACACCCCCTCCCCTCCTCCCCTCCCCCCCCCACAAAAAAAAAAAACAAATAAAAAAATTCTGTTTGTGCTATTTATCAATAAATAAATCATTAATCACTATAGCATCGTTAATCCGGTTCGTGAATAGCAGACTTCAGAGTCCTTTCAAAGACGCTATCAAATGTTAGTTATTGTAGTATTAAGGTCTGGAAAGCTTTAAACAAAGATCTTTCCAAACTCATGTAAAATGATTAAATTTTTTATTATGGATCTTATTATAATCCATTTGAATTAATTTGCAATATTATTTTGTCACTTTATGGGTTATCCTGATTTCTAGAGTCTCATTGTCTGGTTCTTTGTTATCGCAATTTTATCTGTGTTTCATGTATTCTTGTTGAAAATGAGTTAATCAGTCAATCTATATACTGTCATGTGGAAGAGCATTCCATAGACGAATTGCAAAAAATGAAGGAGGTTAAATATCGAAACAAAATATTTAAGATTTTTAAATAAACTACATTACCAAATTTCAGTTTTCAACTGCAAGCATGGAAGTCCTTACATTTGCTGCAAGCAATTAAAGGCTATTAGGATTAGTACAAGCAGTTAGCATGCAACAAGTATCCCCAAAAACATTCTGTATTGGCAAATTGCAGATTCACCTCGTCCCCGTGGTAGACCAAAGCGCCGTTTTAAGGATGTGCTGAAACATGATATTGCCGATTTTGACATCCATATCAACATGGGAGGAAATCGCACAAGACAGAGCAGCATGGCCAAATGCAATCTCAAACGGAAAACACATATCAGCACAAAAATTTCTGTAATAGGAGGCATATAGGGCATCAAACCACAAGTACCGGTAGCTATTAAGGGCATGCACGCTATTTCCGCTTTAAGAACTGAACGAACCCAATTTGCAAACAAAATCATCAAAATCAACATATACGGCCAAGAGAGATAGAGAAGCTTTAGAAATGATATATTTGAAAGGCCGTTAATAGATTATGTAGAATTGTTTTTGTTCTATTTTTTAGTTGAAATCTACAGTAATAACTAAATTATTCATAATACGGAACTAAAATTTTTAGATTTAAAGTTTATAATTAACTTTGTATTAAGCAAGCATAAAGATGTAGGTGGAAGTATATTTCTAATAAAAGGAAGGAAAAAAATATTGTGCTACACTTAAATAGAAGAATTTGAAAATGGTCGGTTAGTCAATCGGTCAATGTATATATTTTTAATCTTGAAATATGATATTTCAAACTGCAGTAGTCTTAGCATCTATAGGGATTTCTTTGAAACAGTGAGAAACTAAAAATAGATTCTGTTATTTGAAAATAATTCAATGTATTGATCGGAATATATATTAAACCACGTACATGTAGCCATATATTTTAAAATTATGTTTCAACAAGAATAAGATCTATAAAAAAGAAGAAAAAAAAAAACTTTCACTGTCTTTCAAAAGCATTCCAAAATGACTTACCGATGCAGCTAGATCAAGCTTAGAGCTGCATTCACATCAAATCCCAATCAAAATTTGGACTGTTTCAAAGAACTGAACGCCAACGTCACTATTCTTACACACTAGCCCCTTTCTTATAGACGTTTCCCCAATATTGCGGTCAGCATGCCTGCATGGTCTATACCCTTTCACACAGCGCCTTTGTTACCGCAATATTGTGGTAATCTTATGCTTTTCTGTATGAAAGGGTCTTATAGAATGGTGTAATATTGGCGGTTTAAATACCACCAGTCAATTGTTTTCAACTTTAACCATGTTTGTTTGTGCATCATTGCACACGCCGGCTTGATTGCAGCAATACCGAGTAGGCCCTTTAACCCACAGCAAGCCAGTAACCGTTACTGCAATACTGCGGCAATATTACTAGGGTGCAAGGTGGCCTAAATAAGCCAGCATATTGGCGTATCAACCCTTTCAGACAGAAACCCATGCTGGCGTACTTACTGCAATATGGCGGCAATATTACTAGGGTGCAAGGTGGTCTAAAGTAAGCTGGCATATTGGTGTATCAACCCTTTCAGGCAGAAACCCATGCTGGCGTGCTTACTGCAATATTGCGGCAATATTACTAGGGTGCAAGGTGGTCTAAAGTAAGCTGGCATATTGGCATATCGACCCTTTCAGACAGAAACCCATGCTGGCGTACTTACTGCAATATGGTGGTATTGCAGCTGTCTGAAAAGGGCTACTGATTCAATCCAGAAATTTGGATTCAGTGTAAAAGCAACTCAAAGTAGAAAGCGTACATCCAATCAAAGTAAATTTACTGTATGTATCACAAAAAAGAATTATTTGTATGGGCTTCTCAGATTGTAAAAATACTACAGCGTTAAGTCAATAAATTTCCTGGCTTACATGTGGTTGTAATTATCAATTTAATTATGATAAACTTAACTCCTTTGTCCCCACTTTCGTAAATAATCAAAAATCTGCATCTTATTAGCCGTTCCCAGTTATTTTTTTCAACACCCCTTCAGTGCATTAGCAAATTCATTTGTACAACAAACAAATGATGTCCAAAAGGGAGGGGAGCGATCGAGACAACAACTAACTTAAGGAATCTGGGGGCATGTGAAAATAACCTCTCAGGCATTTTGGTCATTCAATTTTTTCTTTCTTTCACTTTTCTTTTTTTTTTACTTTCCAAAAAAATGGGAGTGGGGGGGCACGGCTAGCCCGGCCCTTCTTAAATTCACCCCTGAGCACAAGCATGTTTTTCTTGCCTTATGTGTAATGGGATTCACTTGATTTTATTTGATTCCAATGACTGTCAAATTGGCTGGAATAAAAAAAACAGTATAACACACCTTCCTTTACAGATTTTATAAAGTATTAGGGTTACAATCTAACAGTATGTGGACTTAATTAATAATCAAATGTAAAATCTGTTTGATTTGTTAATTTTCTAATCTTTTTTAAACCTTAAGTAACCAGTCAGTACTGCAGTAAAAATTTCATACCAATTTTCCAAGCGATGTTTTCTTCTCCCTCAAAGCTTCTCCAATTTGACGGACAATTTCTCCACGGTGAGGCCCGGGTATCTTTAAAAAAATGTTTCAAAGAACCGTAATCTATTACTGTGAGTTAAGAGTAATTAACATCAAAGGCTTGTGAATAGCAACAGCAGTAATTTTTCACACAACCAAAATCAACTCCACTCGATCAACCTCATCAACAGATTTGGTTTGTAAAGCATCATTCGTCCTGTAATTGACAAGTTAATATCTGTTTGATAAACCAGTTAAATTGATGATGCACTTGTTTAGGCCTAAATCTCAGTCACCTCCATTTTTTAGATAAGCCTATTATAAAGCCTAGTTTCCATAAAAATAGCTACATCCTATCACCAGCTCCTTTTGAGACGCTGATTGGTACGTTGAAAAGCCAATTGCGTCAGGGACGCAGTGCAACGATTGCAGTAAAAAAAAAACTGTAGCGACAGTGTAGCCAAACCAAGCTAAACAGGTCCTGGTTAAAAGTTTGTAGCCTTCGTAATAGACTACATGTCCAACATATTGTATCACATAAGTACAGTAAATAAATGTCTTTGGTAAAAGCAGGAAGTTGTTATAACAAAGTGTACAGACACTGTTCAGTGTTCTCCCAATTGAAAAACTGTTACCGGTATTGAATTCATAAAAATTCAGCAATGGGCAGGTTTGAGGCGTTACCCCTTATGAGTGGGGTTTAATAACTTGAAGAATAAACACACTTATTCACAGCCTAGGCTTAGACGGGATTGATGTTAATTTATTGAAAGAGGGCCAGAATAGACTACCTAGGCCTAATCAGTAGTTTTTTTTTATTATACAAAATCAAAATTTTACTGGTTGGCCGGTTATTTTTACCGGTACAACTGACGGCTAAAACGGCTTCGGGAGAACACTGCTGTTGTTGTTTCTAATGAAGGTATCACCTTTGACCAATCTTTCCAGGCTTCAGTGGCATTCTTTACTGCTAAGTTGTACTCCTGCATGGTTCCTTGCTGTACACGAGCTATGGGCCGGCCATTGAAAGGGCACATTGATGTTACAACCTGCACAAAATGAAAGTCTTGGTATTTCATTATACAAATATTGACTGCTCATGAATGAAGGGAATGGTGAAATCTATTGCCCCTCAGTGATGTGGAGACCGTAGCCTATCTTCCCGAGGGCAGAAGCACATTTTTGATCATTAAGATATAAAAATGCTCGCCATGAACCCTACAAGGCATTTTTATTCTAGGCTCTATTCGGCCTATTGGTTCAGGCCTCTCCATCGGACATGTCAGACCCCTTGTCAGCAAATTTCTGGCCACTAGGCCTAGTTGACAATCTCAGGAACAGTGACAAGTGCTTCACCATGAATGTATGATTGATAATCAATGAACAGCAGTAGGCTAGTGCAGCAGACACTGGACTAAACTAGTCCCGGCTAGATTGCATGACTATATTATTTTATAGGGTGCCCAGGCCCATGGAACCGCGCATGCATGGATGAACAATAAATAAATTAAGATAATAATAGAAAATACAATAGAAAGGAAATTGGTATTGTTCCGACATCCCGTCGTAACAATGAAGTTATAGTTATACTCGGCATAGCCTCCTCCGTGGAGTTATTATTGCAATGCTCCATGCTTCTCAAGGCCTAGCTAGTAGTAGGCTGCCTAGGCTAGGCTTGCACCAAACGGTGAGCCGCATACCATCACATGGAAGACCTCACCTCGCCACTACCGCACCAGCTTCCATTAAACACTCCATTATTATCGGCCTTCAAACCTAACTCTTTTAAAAATGAAAATTTGGGATCCTCTATTAACAGAGGACCATCTGTACTTTGCATACGCTGACATGGTAGTGCAGCAACTGTCCTTGAAATTCTTGAAATTGTAACAAAACTGGAAAGCCTACAACCAGCTTGCAACGCCATGGTGAAAACAGAAATTAGTGCATAGTGCTCTCGCAAGTGGGCGTGCTCCATCAAAACAAACACACCTCTTACACACCCACCAAAATTTTTATTTTTGTTTACAAATATTTCGCCAAATTTGTAACAATTGTTTTAGTTAAAATGTTTCAAGGTGCTCATATTAAATTAAATTTTTAATGGTTGCATTTAACTTTTAAGAGCAATATTATTTTACAACAATGCATAATTTTTATTTTTCTTTGAACTTTTACTAACCATTTCAATTTCTAATCAATTTATTATGGCCTTATATAACTTTAAATTCGAGGTTTAGGCCTTTTAAACATATTTTACTCAATTTCTACCAGTAGCTATTTCTGCATTGCTTTTATCATAAATTATTATTTTAATTCAATAAATAATTTTTCTTACTGTTTCTATGACAGTTTCGCCTGGCTATATCAGTCAGGCTTCGTCAGAACGGTAGGTTTTAGTCAGGGGGACTATAATGTAATTCCGTAGGGTTTTGATGAATAGACGGGCCGGCAGAAAATTGGACCATATGACACAAGAAAATCACATATCAGACTGGGAAAACATCAATTTCCTACATAAAGAACACTGGGTGGGTAAAACGGAAAATTTAAGAATCAATGCATCAGAAGAAATATATACAATGAATAGAGACGATGGCGCAGTGACATCACCTCTCACACTTATAATGACCAACTATTACTGGGGAGCAGCTGCAGTCTGCGGAAACCTACGGATAGTCAGGCAAAACTGTCAACAACAAAAACAGCAAGTACTTTTTTTTTGGTTTAACACAAAGAATTATTTATTGAATCAACTATTGGAAACCAGATGACACTATTTACCTAGTTTAAGAGTGATCAAATTTAAGTACTGTGCCTATATTATTGGATGATTTTATTATCATGCCTTTTGTGATTGTGATTTAGGCCTATATATTTATGTCTCTTTCATATGTCTGTCAATTTTATGGCTTTATTGTGAACGCACCCGCTGTGGCACTGATTCAATACTGTAGATTTTAAATAAAGTTTAAAAAAGGCCTGTAACTATGGATCGGTTGAACCTCTTTCCAAGTGCTTGAGACCCTTCTATTAATAATATGCTGAATTCAGTGTGTAGGTACCCATACTTGATCAAGGCATTACCAAAAAGTTTATCTGTCCATCAATGTACACCACGTGGGCCTACTTCTTATACAATATGTACAAAGGATAAACCAACTTTGACTTGTTGCCCCAACCCAAGATTTTACAAATTTAGGAGCTTCTTTTTAGCAATAATATAAAGTTATATTTTTTAACAAAAAAAAAAGAAAAAAAAAGGAAGAACATACTTTTAAAGTTTCAAAAGGCCACCTTTATGTTTAACGCTTTAAATGGGCCAATAATACCGGTAATACAATAAATAAATAATAGGCCTAAGCTTTTGATACAAATAAATTTTAAAATGATGGTTAAATATAAACATAGAAAGGCCTAGGGTTAATTGCGGTCACCAACCCACCCCCAAACACCAACCACTGGAAGAGTGTAGAGCTGTTTTGAAAGGCCTGGGTTGGGGGGGGGGGCACTCTAGAGTCCACACCCACCTGAGCCCCATCCGATGGCTGGGGCTGAGGTAAGAAAATTTGAAACTTTTAGATGGCCGGAAAAGACATTCTTATATAGTGATTCATCATCAACACATCACTAGTGGTCACAATAAAGCTCCAACAAATTCCTCATGATCTTTTATCAGACACTTTATAATAACAATTGTTTCATGGCATCGATCATCACAAAATTGTACAAGGGTTGTATAGTAAGTAATGATAATAATAATTTAACGGCATATAACTACTGCAGAACGCTCTTTCCTTAAAATGTGGGTCGTTTATAAAGTTCATTTTAATATTCAGTCAACTTCTTGAACCCCTTGTGAGAAGCTGAGAGATTTTTCCCCTGTTTCCCCCACCTATGATCTGCGCCCATGCATAAAATAGACGAAAAAAAACTCATACAGCTGAACTAAAGCGATAACACTGAGCAGTGGCGCCAGGATTCGCCCGACGTGGGGTTCGTTGTCCCCAACAGGGAGGGGGGGGGGTGGGGAGGAACTCATTATGTTGGTCAAATAATCTTAAACCTTTGGGCCATGTTACTAATACTAAATAACAACTAAATTAATTTAGACATTAGTCTAGGTAGGCATAAGATAAGCGCTGTGTGCTAAATTATCATCATCATTTATCATCATCATCATCATCATCATCATCATCATCATAATCATTATCATTATCATCATCATCATCATCCTCAGGTCCATCAGATTAAGTGTTGTATCTACGGATGCACGGCAACACTCCAGAAGTTTTCATGAACACTTGATGCATAGCTTTCAAAGCAGTCTTAATAGTGAATTAAGCGCTGTGAGTGTACTATGTCTTTGAGGCGGATTCAAATATATAGACAAATAATCTGGTACAACCCACCATTCAGCAAAGGAGTGAAAACCAACATCGGAAATTCATTCCTTAACCTCGTAAAAAAACATTTCCCGAGTGGCAAAATTTTGCACAAGCTGTTCAACAAGAACAATGTCAAAGTCAGCTATAGCTGCTCAAGAAACATGGGCAGTATGTTACAAGCCCACAACAAACAGCTTATGGTTGCTAAGCAACAGCAGCCAGATAAATTCTGCAATTGCAGGAAAAAAGATGAATGCCCACTCTATGGAAATTGCCTCACTTCATCCATCATCTACAAAGCCACTGTCCACTCATATGATGACACAAAATGCTACACCGGGCTTACTGACACACCGTTCAAAACCGATACACAAACCACAAATACACTTTTAACACCCCCAAACACAGAAACAGCGCCGTACTCTCCAAATATGTATGGAAATTAAAAGACAGCAACACACCATCAAATGGTCTATTATCGACAGAGCGTCGGCTTACTCCCCTAAAAGAAAACGCTGCAACCTATGCATAACCGAAAAACTTCACATAATATATTCAGACAGTCAATAATAAACAAAAGAACCGAGTTATTGTCTAAATGGAGGCACAACAAATACTTACTTAGAAACAATTAACTCATTTGCATTTTCACCTGCCTTAGCATTCATATCACACAATCCTTGTATTCTCTCACTCCTGAAGATTGCATTAGCATGAAACAGTCTCTAAAGTTATTATACCAAGTTCTACATTTTCAATATCTACACTCTGCATTATCCCGTGTATCGAGCACTGTACTTTGCTAGTATTGCCAAATACAGTACATTTATTCATTCAATTTATATGTATATATATATATATGTATGTGTATATATATGTATATATATGTATATATATATGTATGTATATATATATATATGTATATATATATGTATATATATATGTATATATATGTATGTATATATATATGTATATA